AGGAAGGGGATCTGCTGCCATCCCGGCAATAAGAGTACGCATCTCTTGGACAAATTCCACCAATTCTTTGTTGCCCTGTCGGGCGGCAAGAAAACGCACTCGCACGCGATATGCCTGGTTAGGCGGCGAGACACTTGGGAGAGCTGCAATTTTTGCTCCGCTCAGGAGGGAAACGCAGCTTCGACCGAAGTGCCGTACGTCAGTGCCGATTCTCGCGCTCGACCACCGAGCTTTGAGATGGCTAGCGCCACGCGCTGTTGCTTGTTCTGAAGCATGGCGGACACGATGGCCATCTCAACCTCTCTCATCCAGAGCAGGAGATTCTCTCTATCCTTCCCCTCGAAGACCTTAACGCTCACACTGAGCGACTTAGGGCGGGGAAAATCATCCGTCACTGTCGGTGGCGTCATAGACGCAAATGATGCAGACATCTTCTGCTGCAGGTGTTCTAGCAGCGCGTTTTCGTAACTTGAAAACGTCTCTAGACGCGCACCGATTGTTAGGGGTCTTGCGCATCAAGGTGTTGCACGCCCCCAGGGCCAAGCAAGGACATCAGCTTTTTAAGCCCTTCCTGCATGCCCTGGGGCAAAGAAGAAAATTTTGTCATCCTTACAGAGGGTCAGTCTAAACGACTAGGTGTAGATTGACTACGAGTGCTACCAAGTGCAGCGGAACTGCTGTAGCTTTGCGCTAAAAGGAAGATTTAGGTCACCGACCTTACGTTCTTCACAAGAACCAGCACGAGTGTAGCGGATCGCAATCCGCTACCTCCAAGAGTAGTTATAACCTTAACCTAAGGCTAATCAACTCTTCTGTTTAAAATGTAGACCGTATTTATTTGTTTTATCTGCGGCAAAGCCGCCTAAATTTAAATGTATAGATTTTCCCATATATATAGTAAAATATATATACATGCATAACTACTGGCTACCCAGCCACGTACCGTATTCATTTTTGGGTGCAGTCACACCATGCCCATTTCGTGTGACACACACACCCCTGTTACCAGGGTATGTGCAACCCCGCTTCAGCAGCGACCTTGGTGTACGTGCCGTTCCGCTTAACTTATTCGTGATGCAAGATACGCTGGCAAATGATGATTTTTTTGTGACTGGCTCGTGGTCTCTTTTGTTCTGACGGCATGTGGGCTATCTCTAAGCGTTTCGGCGTGAGCCCAAAATTGAGATGAGCCAGACCTCGGAGCGCTTCCAGATATCTGCCATTGCTTTCTCGAGAGATAAATGTGAAACTCATGTTTTCCCACTGTGACCGTGCACTATTCGAGGCTAGATTGTCGCTACTAAAAGTATAGACTGCAGTCAGGTAGGATAACAGCAATCACTAAAATCCAATCATCTGCTACATATTCGTGTGCTATTCTTGCATTCGAACATTATGGATCTAATTACACACTCAAAGCACGTTGCTCGATCTTACTCAAGGAAAGTTTGTGACATTGCTGCGTTGTGTAGCTGGGTTGATTATAAAAGCGAATCGAATCATACGACTCCCTCTCTTATCAAGACTGAAGCCACTTTGTGACGGTGTCAAAGAACTGCGGGGTCAGCCAATACTTAATACACATAAAGATGCATTGCTTTGATTAACTCAGTGAAAGAAAAAATTTCGCTTGAGCATCGCGGCTCTTTGCCCAAGTGCTCCGTCATACAATAAGCGCGTTCTATCTGATCATTGTTCTATGAGTGTTCAGCGGTCTATATGTCCGATTTGGCTCCTAGTACCTAACAAAGGTTCTCATAGGTTGCTGTAGTTTGCAAATCTCGACCGGTTAATATGGCTACACGTACTTTCCGCTGCGAATATTTTGGGGAGATGCAGCTTGGCTTCTGTGGCCTGATAAATTGACTTAGTGTGTTAACATATATGTACGAAGCTTTTACCCACTTACAGGTTTCACTCGTGCACACTTATTGACCAGCATATATGAGTACATAGCGCTCACTAAGCCGTATGGATTTTTCTACCAGGGTGGCCACTCTAAGGATACGTGTACCTGGTACGATAATGGGCTGCAATATTTTCAGCACCTCTACACGCAAGTGTCAAGTAGGTCAGTGCTGCAATATAGCAAGCTTTTACTTAAGGTATAGAAAGGCAAATGCGGAACCACGCACTTCTACCAGCGGCATCTAAGCTCCCAAACTTCTTGCTTCAAAACGTTTAGCAGCACAGCACATGTTGCACCTGTACTTCTCGTTTTCATTTGTGGCAAAGCCGTAAATATCCAAAACCTTAGATTTTCCTATCTAAATAGCAAAACCTAATCAAATGTATAACTACTGGACTGTGACCCACACCCTTCATATCAGGGCAATAAAAAACCCGTTATGCTCTCCCCCATCGAGATCGTGAAAACCTACACTTCACATTCAACTGTTGCCTCACCGAGGCTCGCGTGTCTAAGACACCACAACATCACCAGGACCTTCGTCACGAATTCTCTTCTCAATGAACCCTGTGTTGAGGACACAGAAGACACCAAGCCTCGCTGGTTCCGAGAACGCCCGCGGACAGAGTCCTTCTTCGTCTCGGTGCAACTCCGGACAATTCGTCCGAGGCTTCGAGGGAAGCGCGGTACAAGCTCTCGGTATCCGAGTACCGCGCATCGCGCCCGTCGCGGGCGATGGATTACCACGTCGAGGATTTAAAGGAAGTCGACTATGAATCGGAACTCCTTTCCCAGGATGGGAAGATGAAGAGGGCGAGGTGCTCCAGCGGCGCGACGTGAGCCCTGCTTGAACCTTGCAGACGCCGTGCCCGTTCCCAAACTTTCGACTTTCGGGGGAAGTGGTATCAGCACCAATCGCCTCGACGAAGCACAGAAGCAGCAGTTGGATTCTGTCCACAGGGCGGCCTCATGCGCTCGAATCCACGGTCGGTCCCAAATCTTCGTGTCGAAACGGCTTCCGCTCGGTGGATCCTGAAGCGAAGGCAGCGATCACTCGATCGTTGGGAATCTACCTAGTCGGGCCCCCCGCCACTACACAAGCCGAGCCGACCAGCAAAAATCTCTCTGAGCTCGTTTCTTGGTACATCAAGAATCCCAATGGATATGTACCGCGCTCGACTTCGTGCTCACCCGCGATGAGGACGATTCCTGTGGTGTGCTGGCCCCTTGCAAAATTGCTGCAGATGATGAAAAGCTCTTTAAGCGATGAATGCAGCGGCATCGAAAACATTTCTCACTGTCTAGCTTACAACGGAGCCACAAGGCGGTGAACGTGCTCGTGGGACGCCATCTTCGGTTCAAGTTTGCAAAACTCAAGGCGCAACGCCGTCTTTTCGACCTGCAACGTTTATTTTAATTCATCACGCTCCCGTGAGCTCTGTGGTCTCTCACACGGGTTAGTCTACGACCATAGCAGCTCAGGGCCATGGCTTGAGCTCAGCTCATGGCCCTTCGGCCTCCCGGGGATTGAGAATCGCGGTGCGTATGACGACGCGACACGTCATGATCCCTCTGATCATAAGCGTCCACGACGTCCGGACAGTCTTGCCGAAGTGGCATCTCAAACTCCCACGAGTTGTCAAAGTTTTGTTATGCCCGTCGCTTCACAAGATGTTGGGTTGGATCCTGTCGACGACGTCAACCCACAAGACGTTCCACGTGATTGTGAACGCCACCGTTCTCGTCGAGAAGAGTCGGCAGCGGTCAATGACGACTTGGTCGACCGCTTTCGCTGACTCGCGATGCTCTTCGAGCTCTCAAGGACATGGGCCTTAGCCATTGGGGATCCGCTGAGCATCATTGTGAGGTCGCATACCGCTGTGCGGAAGGCCGAGAAAGCCTGGAGTACTTTATGCACCGACTGCCACGCGTTGAGGATTATCGTGCTCTGTCGGAGCGGCTCTTAGCCGTCGAGCAGACGAATACGTCACTTCGAGCGACGGTGGAGCCCCTGGCGCCGTTGGAAACGTAGATCGTTGCACTCCGTGCTCGAAACAGTTGCTGGTTTATCTTTGGGGTGGCCGCGTGCCTTTGGGTGCCGCCCCGGCGCCAACGCTTCCAAGTTCACTTGCTCCGGATCCCGGTTCGGCTAAAGCAAGCCCACATAATACACCGGGTGGGTTCACGTTCTACTCAGAAAGTTTAGTGTATACGCAAGGCTTCGCTTGGCCACGACCTTAAGAGGCCCGATAAACCGTGGATGGGTCTTTGTCTTAAAGACAGCAGAGACTGCATATGTATGAAAGCTTCTACCATTTAATGAAACCAGGTCACCGACCTCAAAGTTTACAACATTTCTTCTACTTCTTCCGTCTGCATGTTTGTTCTGCATGTCTTGAATTTTAGCCATTGCATCGCGAACGTACTCAGTCTGGTAGACGTTCGGAGAGGGTTTATCCTTTGACACGTCTAACACGTGCGCACATATGTGCTCGTCCATTTGTACAGCCTGGGCCACTAATAGGGACGTGGAGTTAATAGATGATTTAATTGACTTTACAGTGCTTCCATTGGATGATACTGGATAAAAGAATATGAATAAAATTACCTTTTAAAATAGAAAAGATCAAAATGAAGCTACGCGTTTTAACGTTTAATCTTTTCTTCGATGAAGTGGCGCGCTCCTTGCGCATGAGGGCAATCGGTCGATTAGTTGAACATTTCCGCCCTGCCATCATCGGATTTCAAGAGGTCACACGCGACGCATTGACAATGCTGAAGAAGCAACAATGGGCCAAGTTTTACGACTGTAGCGTGGATACGGCACCGCCATTTCAAGAGACCTATTTTGTGACTTTATTCAGTGCATTGCCCATCAAATCACTTGAGACGCACCCATTTGCAAACACAGGTATGGGTCGAGAATTAGTCATTATGCAGGTTGAAGTCGTACCAGGAAAGACCCTTTTTGTGGCAACGGCCCATTTAGAGAGTCTCCCGCAGTTTGCAGAACTCAGAGTTAACCAGTTAAAGGAGAGTCTGAACTTACTGCGAGATCGAGTAAATAATGCTGAAAATGATGAGAGTATCATAATTAGAGAAAAGAGATGCATTGATAGAACTTCAAATAGTGATTGTTTGGGGGCAGTGTTCATGGGGGATACCAATCTACTTAAAGCAGATATGAAGCTGCTTGACCAACGTCTCGCTGCGTTCGCTGATGTGGATGTCGAGCTGGCGAAAAGTACAAGATCCAAGTGTCGGATTTGTGGGGATGCCATTAAGAAAGAGAGCGTGCGTGTAGGTAAAATGGTGAAAAGTACGGTGTCGGGGAGGAAAATGCTGGAGATTCGAGTGTGGTTTCATGATAGCTGCTTTTTAAATGCGGCATCAACGACGGATGATGAGAAAGAGTTGGTGAGACGAAAAGGAAATCATTTGCGGGGAAAAGATCTAGAGCAATGTGATGAAGAAATGGACATGGTATGTGTCTTATTCAGTATGGTGATAAAGTTCGTGCAACTTCCTGCTAATCAATTTCTCGTCATTATAGGCAACATTGGGTCTGCCATGCGGTTGGAAGGATCTTTGGTTGTCTGTGCCTGGCAACACTGAGGAGAACGGGTATACTTTTGATGGCACACGCAATTCTTTGGTGACAAGTCGCGCGTTTCGTAGCCGGTTGGATCGAATATATTTTTACCCAGCGCCGAACGACGCAACACAAATGTGTGAATTTAACGAGATTGTAGTCGTAGGACAGCAAAAAATCGCCGACGGTCTATGGCCATCGGATCATTTCGGATTGCTCAGCACGTTTACTCTTCATGAAGATCAAAACGTTAATGCAGCTAGTTATTGTATTAATAAGAAAGCACGGCAAGTGGCAGATGCAAACTCCAAGCAGTGCGCGCCCACAACAAGATAAGTTCGCCACAAAGAAATGTTTCGAGCGTGGATTGAAAAAAGTGGATTTTACGATGGAGCTTAGCATTTTGAAATGTGGCGATATTTTTAATTTCTTTATCGTTGACTGTGTACTGGGCCCAGAAGACCGAGCAAATTTCCCGAATTTTCTTGTTTTAAGCGTTTACGATGAATAGTTGAGATCATGGACCAATGGGCGTATCTTTTGTCCGAAATGATCGAATATCAACCTGTAAGTAAAAAGAAAAAGTAGCGCATCATTACCAACTTCACAATGTTTTGCAGGCGTTTGAGAAAAAATCTGGTGCTGCTCAATCTTCAGCCTCACGAAGAAAAGTCATAAAAATTACTGCTTGAAAACGTGACCTTATTTGGATTAGACGATGATGTTGCTTCTTGCGACGCGTCAAAACAAGATTGGCCTTGAGCTTTTCTACTTGAGGCTCCGATAAAGCTTTGGCGTCTTTGAGCAGCTCGTAAACAATATAGTAGCTTAAGACTCAGTATACAACCAACTGTCACCGTTGGCCAACGCTGCCGCTGACTTTTATCTTCGGACTTCGGAGATCTTTGCAAGATTTTGTGTAATACTTGAGTCGAGCCTTCTGACGATTAGCTGATAATTTAGCATACCTCTTACTACTATGTAATGATAAACATTAGTAATGTGAGGTCTTTAAGGTCCTAATGCGATGGTCATCGAAGTTTTTTATGGTCGCAAGTTTGGTCTTCTGCACCAGAGCAAGACCTTCTACCCAATAATCAGAATTATGAAAGCAGTTCTTTTGCCAAAGATATTTGGGCTTTGAGCTGTTGCGATAGCCTAAAAAAATACTTCATTTTCCAAAACTGTTAACTCGATAGTCTCACCTTTACACCAACAACTACCTAGCCGGACGCTGGAGAATGAAACCTGTCAAAATTTGACTTAAGAGCTTTGAGTGAATTAAAGAAAGTGGGGATTTCGCGTTTGTTGTTCTCATTAGAAAAAAACTCAGTTGTAGGTTTATATATACAGATGCTGCAGTTTTCTTGTGCAACTAACGCGTAAAGTCGTTGTAAGAAATTGCGGTGAAGCTCCTCCTAGCCGTGACGACTTCACATGCCTCTGGCCAAAGCATACACAAATACAATATTGATGTCGTTCCGTTTTGCCTACATACCTTTATAGTGCCTGTTAATCGGAAAGAAGCTTGCATACAACTTGATTCGAACCCAAAAAGATATTTTTTACCGATTGATTTGCACGAACTGCACCTTTTTTTCAGGATGAAATGCAAATCTTTTCTTCGCACGTTAAAGTTTGCCTTACTAATTCTGATGAGTTTTGCAGACAAGAAAAAAATGCGTTTCCATAACAAGAAGGATTTTCTCCGACTAACTAAGCTTCGTAACTCTGTATAAACAGTAGAAAAGATGTGACGTGTGAGACAAATTTTTATCACGCCTACCGTATTTATCGAGCTATACATAGTATCCAAATGTGAACAATTTTTGTGACTGCAGAAGGCATTTCCACGAGTCTATATGAGACGACCCAGAACCAAATGATACTAATCAACCATTTAGAGTTATCGAGAT